CCGCTGAATGCCCAGTCTTAAAAAGCCCTGGTACAGTGAGGGTCACTGCCTGAGCAGACCCAGACCATATAGCGCAGAGATGTCAATAGGGACTCAATAATGTCACTCTGGGACAGTACCCAAAATGTCAATCTGGGACACTACCAAAATGTCACTCTGGGACAGTACCAAAATGTCACTCTGGATAGTACAAAATGTCGCTCTTGACAGTACCGAAATGTCCAGAGAAGATTGGCAAGCTGCGAGGAATTCACCAAAAACCCAGGCTGAGCACGTCAACTGGCACCAAATCAGTCCATCCATTGGAGAGATTCAGCTGTGGCCAAAATATTCATTGTACTCCATACTCCTGCCAAGACGTACAGGGTTTTTGAAAATTTGACCCCTGGGATGTTTCATTCACAAGTGCTATTCTGCCTTTTCTGAGTGGGCAGAAACAAAAGAAACAAAAGAAAAATGAAGGTGTGGAATTTTTGAAGGACATCTGTGACCGAACAACTTCATCTCAATCTAGACTAAATCCAGTTTCAGGGTTTGGGCATTGCCCGGTGGTTCTGGTCACTTTTGCAGCCATTTCTTTTTCGCTTGCCTTTTTCTTGCTCTCTTTCTTTTTTATGAGAAGTCAGAAACATCTTATGGCACCCCTCACTTCGTGGGAGTCTGAAGAAGACAAAGACGAAGACGAAGACGAAGATGAAGACAAGACGAACACAAAGACAAAGAAAACAACGAAGAAGAAGAAGAAGAAGAAGAAGAAGAAGAATGTCATGAAACCCTGAACTGTCTCCCAAACCCTGATTCGCACATGAGCCTTTTGGCAGCATTATTCTTTTGCTGACCGTGAAATGTTTCTGAAGTACGACCTGATTTCTTTTTCCTTTTTCCTCGGATAATCTTTGCAGGATTTGAGAAAAGCAGAAGAGGAGGCTACATCCACATCCTAGGGAGAAGACGTGATTTTTGAGCTCATCCTTCTACTTAAACCACCACTCCATGCGGATTTTCGTTCATTCACTTGTGTTCTTGCTGCCAATCTTTCTCTGACCTGCCCATTCATTAATTCATTCGTATCGTCATTAAAGTGTCATTTCCCCGGATGGCGAAAGGGGTCCACACCAAGATACGAGGAGGCGGCGAGCAGGTGTGGCCTAACGGCGGGCGGCGGAATTTGGGTTCCCCACCTTTGGCGATTTTTTGCTGTCTTTTTTTTTTGACGAAAAATTCTGAAAACGATCATGGATGTAGGACAGGTTCTGCCTTGGTTGGGAAACGTTTTCTACAAAAACGAAGCAAATTTGCAAACCTGGTAAATTATCGAAATCCTTTTGCTGGCCGGAGAAGAGGAAAAGTGCAAAGTAGAAGTTTCACGAAGATGCAAACCGAGTGCCTATGCTTGCCTCCCTTTGCTGTGACATAGTAGACTGACCATTCAGGCTGCGAAAGGCCAAGACAGTTGTAAACACCAGGTTTGACAAATTAGGTTCTGGTGTGGTAGTGGTTTAAGAACGTACTCACACGAGGACTCTTCTGCATGTGTCAGACTGCAGTTACCGCCGTCTCTGGGTGTATCTGGCCACAATTACGTCCAGGGCTGAGTAGAAAAACTCCTAGTGCGAGTATGGCCTCACTCAGTCAGTCTCAATCTCTTGAGCAGGGAGGGAGGAGGGGGGTTTTGGGCAACTTGCGATTTTGATGTGAGTTGAATTCAATTGGTGGGAAGTTTGCTGGAATAATTATGACAGAAGGATAGAGACGATGACGACCTGTTTGTACATCCGTACGTACATTGACATGCACGTGTATCACATTCGTAAGGTGCAAGTGGGCCACTATGACACACGGGGATGTAGACAGCTGGCATTCAACTAAATCGATTTGGCGAGCCTTGTATGTGAGATCCACAGTAAAGGGACAACTATAAGAAATATTGGAGAAACTCTGAAACCGTGAGAACTGCAGAGAAAAGGCAGACAAACGGTTTCAGTGTGTTTCATGCTGTCTGCTATTTTCCTTGTCTGCTCTTTTAGTTTTTTTCCCTCTCTTTCAGTTGATAGATAGGTGACAATATATAGGCATGTATGACTATAGGCATCGGTACTGCTCAGTGAGTACGGCTTTGGTTCTTTGGTTCTAGATGTGAGAGGAAGAAATGGTGTGTTGTCTCAACCCGTATGTATCTGCAACCCTGTACGGAAGCAGGGAGGGGGGGGGGGTTAGGGAGATGGAGTTCTTGATGCGTTGGACCCTCCCCTGCCACACCCTGACACACAGAAGTGAAGATTATCATATATAAACTCCCATTCGGGAATGGCCCCTTTCAATCTGTGGAGGGCCCCATCAGCCGAACTGGAGCACTTGTTTGGGTTATTGGTTATGTGGAGTTTGCAAACAGTTTCTCATGTTTAATATATGAAGGCTGGGAGCATATGTGATTTATCCTAGGCTACCAGCCGGGTCGCCCAGGTCACGCTGTTTTACCGGGCGGCCCGGCCGTGCAAGGACCAGCGAAAAAAAAAACAAAAAATACAAAAAAAAACTGAAAAATAAACTATGTAATGCAGAAAAAAAAAAAACTGAACGACTTTTGCCTCAGGGTCACACCGAAATTCTTTACCAAAATTTTAATAAAAAATAAATAAAAAATTGAAATGTAATTCTGCGAGGATCAGGGTCCTCGGTAGGCCTAAGGGGCCCTGTTTGCAGCATTGCCCGCCCTAAGTGAAGGTGCCCGCCCTAAGTGAAGGCGGGCCTAAGATATCGCAAAAGGCCCTCCACTGTCAATTTCATATTTGGGGTCCAGGCAGTTGCGACGCGCCAGTTGGTCGAGAGGAACTCAGGCCGGGCAACAAAGACATTTCCACGGCCCTCCGGGCTTTTCCAAAGAATGCAGGCCCTGGGTGTGAATCGCAGCCTCATACAGAGACAGTTGGGCGCCCAACCAAACGAGGCCCAGCAGCCCAGTAGCTGCTGTACACAGGCAGCATCCTGGGGCTTTCCGGAAGCTTCTGGGCCCAGGCCAGTGCAGCCAGGCTGCGCGAGCAGGCCAGCTCTTTCCATGAAGGAAAGAGCTCATCCCTGGCAGTCTCATTTGGTCACTTGCTGGCTGCCGGCAGAACTGCTGGAGCAATTGCTCGCGGGCTGGCTGCCGGCATTGGAGCAAGAGGCTGCGCACGTGCGGTCATGTGTGGGAGCAGGGCGCTGCTGAGGGCAGCACCATAACCAGCCTCCATAGCGGGCTGGGCTTGGATACACAGTGAGGCGCAGGGGTGGTCTTCGGGTGTAAATGAGGACAGGTGTGGGTGTAAAGTCAGGGAAGGGTGAAGGATGATGATGATGATGATGTGAGGGTGCATACCTTGTATTGGCGATGGTCTATGTTATGAACTTGGTTGTCTGATGAATTTTATCGCCACTCACACACAGACAATCTCACACATGCCCATACATGCATAAGAGAAGGGGAGAGAGGAGACAGAGTCCAAACTGCACACAGGTGAGAATAAGCAGCGGAAGACAATCATGCACAGATGGGGAGAAGACACGCAGTGTTTCTCACTCTCTGACACAACTCCCAACAACCAATCACAAGAGAGAACCTGCGAATATCACAATTGAAATGACACTGATTATGAGCCACTCACACAGTTATCGTAGCAGAGTTTGTTCCAGTATCTCGCCACCCTCAGAACTCACACCCCACTCTCTATCCTACACCCAGTTAGTAGCGCCACGTCAGAATGGCCTCCCAGAGGCCAGCGCCAACCACCCTGATGAAGAACAGGTCCTGTGACGAAGGAACAGGCAGCTATGGCTGCCACCACCCACGAGCACACAGTGTAGAGCCTCGAAATAGCCTTCAGTGCCGCCGGGCAACTCTGACGAAGGAACAGGCAGCTATGGCTGCCACCACCAACGAGCACACAGTGTAGAGCCTCGAAATAGCCTGGCCAGAAGCAGATACCCCCAGGGGTAGATGCGCTGAGGATGCCCCAGCTATGGCAGACTCAGGCTGGGCCGGCTATGGCTGCTGTCAACGGCGAGTCTCAGGATGCCACCTGCAGACAGGTACCGACACCAACTTGCTTGGCTTCTCCAATGCTGCTTCGCGAGAAATGAACTGCCAAAAGTCCTGAACCGATGGGCCTAGCCTATCTATAGACTACCTAGACCTAGACCGGACTGACTGACCGACCGGTACCGTTGTTATTTCGGCCTCTCGGCCTCTACCGGACCCGGCTATAGGCTATAGGACCGTCTAGCAGCATAGGCCGCTTAGGGCCTGTCTGTCCTAGGGGTAGCCCGGGCCTGCTATAGGCAGTTAGGGTAGCTGTAGGAATTCGGGTTAGTGTTGGGCCTATATTTTCCCAGATTTGCAGATATGTCCCTCACGAATTTCCTTACAGGCAGGTCTCTCGGTTAGCCCTCAGCCAAACAAAATGACGAATCTAACCCTACCGGTTAGTGTACAGCCTCGCAATCAATCTCGGCAGTAGAAATCAGCAAGTCATTGGAGGCTTACCCTCCCCGGGAGCGAGGACCTCCGAGCTAGGGATGCAGGCGAGGTGAACGGCGAGGAAGTTTGCCCTTCTGAGCCGCTTCATATCGCAAAACAATTGACTTTGCTGTCTTGAGAAGTTCCCTCGTGTAGAACCATCTGTTCTCAAAAGGAGGTTGGAATGTGAACCTCACAAGATACTGTCGGTCGGGGCCTATGCCCCACTCATCCTCAGTCCACTCCACGTCATATCCCTTGCCAGGGATCAGTGGACCGAATTGAGGGGGCCAGTCTGGGAATGCATCAGCTGGAGTGAAAGGCAGCAGCTTGGATGCATGGAAGACCGGGTAGGTACGTAGATGCAGCGGGACGTCGATAACATACAACGGACCAAAGGGATCAGCTTGGGGGAGATATCCTTCTCCCTCGACAGCTCAGAATTGGCTACCCAGACATGATCACCAGTGCGGATGGGGGAAGGATGCCTGTGGCGATTAACTTGTTTAATCATAGCCTTTTGGGCTTTGAACAAGTTCGCTCGCGCTCTTTTCACATCCAAACGATAATGTATGCTGTGTCTGGTGTCAGATCAGGCTTAGCCTTATCGATGGTATCATCGAGAGGCTGACGCGGCTCTCGTCCCTAGTGCAACCGGTAGGGACTGAATGTCGAGGAGTGGACAAACATGTTATACATGAGTTGTGCCCTCGCTAAGTGAAGATCCCAGTCCTGTTGATCTGGAGAGATGACAGGACGCAGCGGCTGGAATAAGACTTGGTTCATCACTTCAGCCAAACCATTGGCTTCAGGATGGTGACCAGAAGTCATGTCCAGTCGTGAGTGCAAATAGTCCTTACAGTAGGACTGCCACTCATCGCTGCAAAATCTGGGGTCTCGATCATTGGCAATATAAGTGGGCGGTCCATGGTGTGTTACCCACCTCTCAGAGAAGGCTGCTCTCACAGCCGGTACCCTAGCTACCTCTGGCAAGGGGATGAACTCTGCGTATTTGGAGAACCTGTCCACGCAGACCATAACTTGGCGCATGCCACGAGGGGTGGTCTTGCCTAGATCTGTGAAGTCTATCGACACAGATTCAGCAGGACCATCAGGTATGGGTAAGGGTTTGAGCAGTCCCAAAGGAGGTTTACGCTGAACCTTGTTCCTTTGGCAAAGCTCACAGGTGTCCACATAACGCAACATATCACTCCGCATCTCCTTCTAGAAGAAGCGCTGCGACAGGGCTGCATAAGACTTGAGGAACCCGAAATGTCCACGGGCATCGTGACACTCTGACATCAGCAATGTCCTAAGCCGCTGGTCCTGGGGAATGCACAAGCGCTCCTCACCTCTGTTGCAAGTGTACAGCAGATCTGAACTCAGAGCATAGTCTGGTTCAGAATTAGGATTCGCTTGCAGATTCCTGACAGTGGGTCCGAAAGTCTCGTCTTGAGGCAGTAGAACGAGCAATGGTTTGACGGGTCTCCTCTCCAAAGGAGTGAGTAGTGTAGATCAGCGCAAAAGAGTCGGGCCTACGAGAGAGGGCATCTGCTACCTTGTTGTAGCAGCCCTTCTTGTGCTTCAGTTCAAAGTCAAACATGTCTATGAACTGAATGTACCGTGCCAGTTTGTCATTTAACTCTCCCTGGGATTTCATCCACTGTAGGGTGGAGTGATCTGAAAAGATCTTGAAGTGCCTGCCAGGAGAAAGTGCTTCCAGTGTTTCAGGGCACGGACAAGATCATACAGCTCTTTCTCGTAGGTAGAGTCCTGGAGCTTTTGGGTCTTGATCTTCTTACTCGTAAACTCTACAGGCCGTAGACCATTCCCATCATCCCACTGAAGAACTGCCCCAATGCCATACTGACTGGCGTCAGTGAGCAGGATGAATGGCAAAGTGGGGTCAGGTAACTTCAGCACAGGCGCAGGAGTCAAGGCCTTCTTGAGTCGTGTGAAGGCCAACTGGCAGTGGAGGGACCAAAGAAAGGGAGTGTCYTTCTTTGTTAGGTTAGTCAGGGGTGCAGCCACTACAGAAAAGTTTCTGACGAACTTCCTGTAGTAGGAGGTTAGACCCATGAAGGACCTGGCATCCCTCACTGTCTGTGGCTGAGGCCACTCCTGAATAGCAGCTATCTTGGTTGCTTCAGAAGCCAGATCATCTCCAGAGATTACATGACCCAGGTAGATGACAGAGGGAACTCCAAAGGAGGACTTCTCTCTGTTAATCTTGTACTGGCTGTCGCGTAACAACAGAAGGACAAGAGTCAAATGCTCGGCATGTTCCCTGACAGTTTTGCTGAATACCAGGATATCATCCAGGTAGACAACCATAAACTTGTCCAGGTAAGGCCTGAAGATGCGGTGCATCTCTGTCTGGAAAGTGCCCGGGGCGTTGCAAAGTCCAAATGGCATGACCAGGAACTCGGAAGTCCCATACCTGGTCTTGAAGGCTGTCTTGTAGACATCCTCCTCTGCCATCTCAATCTGGTGGTAGCCAGATTTCAGATCGACTTTGCTGAACACTGTGCAGCCCTGCAACATGTCCAGGAGGTCATCGATCCTAGGAAGTGGCTCAATACTCTTCCTAGTGATGTTGTTGAGACCCCTGTAGTCAATGCACATTCTGAACTCGCCGTTCCCTTTGGGTACAAAGAGAACAGGTGCACCAAATTCAGATGTGCTGGGTCTGATCCAGCCTTTGCTGGTCAGGGTCTCAAGCTGCTTTTTTAGCTCCTCAAGCTCAGCAGGGGACATCATGTATATATGCGGCCCTTGGGAGGGACCGCTCCAGGCAGCAGCTCGATGTGATGCTTGGTTGGCCGGTTGGGTAATCCAAAGGGCTCCTGCATCAGATCAGCATATTGATCTACCACCTGCTGTATCTTAGAAGGACAGGAAACA